CAGAAATACGGCAGACTAACTTCCATTTGTGTCCCTGCTTTTGGTTTGCTAAGTGCTTATCAAGGAGCCTCCCTGTTATCTATCCTGTTGAGTAGTGCCGCTTTTAAGTCATAGACTGGCTTAGCTTAGTCTACTTTTGCCTCAGCTTCATCTGTTTTATAGCAAGCCCTAGCTTGCTGCTTGCTTTATGGCAAGATCAGTGCCTTTTCATTACTGAAAATGGTTTAAAAATGATCTATTGCTTTTCCTATTTTAGCTTCAAACAACACCTATTCGTACCTAGTCAACAAGATGTTCATCATCTCTTCGAAGAGAGAGGATTTTTTCTTAAGTAATACGGAAATAATCAGAATAATTTTGTCAAGGCTTTTTGTTTCTGCAGCCTAGGCCGTGCTTTGGGATGAGCCCTTGATTCACTGCGTGTGAACTCAGAGCATGTGGTCAAAGGCTCTGTCTTGTGGGCCTAGTGTGCAGAAGGGCATGGTGCAATTTGGCCTTGCCCAGAAAATGAAGGACAGCCCTGCTGCAGCATTGGAGAAGGATGAATTTTCTCGTCCTGCCCCTGTGCTTTTGTGTCAAGAACAGCGCAGTAGAGTTGGTCTGCTTGTGTGTAGAACAGCTGGGGGTTCGGCCCATAGGCTTGATAATATGTTTTAAAGAAGACAGTGAAGTGTCCTGTAGGGCTGGGCTAGCCAAAACATGTGCTTGTGCTTCCCAAATGGGGCAGAACAGAGTTTTCCGAAGGCCTCAGGAGCCCGGTATAAGCACCTGTATCGCAAACCAGTCAGGTTTGTGTTTTGTCCCTGAGAAACTGTTGAAAATGGCACGCTTGATTTATACAAGATCAGAATCTGTGGTGTATTTGTTAATGAATGCACATGAGCTTGTAACTCTTAAGTAAATATAACCAAATGTGTTTAATATCTCATCATGGTTATAGAAAAAAACCTGTCAATCTGGATCCGCCAAGCACACTTACTTCAATCACATCTAGTGCCAAATGGGTTTATACGTGGTGTAGAAGATACCAGGTTTCAGCCAGGAGCAGGCAAGTGATAGTATTGACTATTTCTGTAAATATTGAACGGTTCATATGCATAAACCTGAGACCTACAGCCTTGCAGGGCTGCCTACGTCAGCTACAACATGGTTAGCGTTAGCTGCGCACTGCTCCTGTTTTACTGGAGAGGCTGAGCGTGTGGCTGTGAAAAACACACAGTTGACTGTTTAAAGAACAATATCCCGTGTCCTTCTCCTGTTTAAACTGAGAGGAAGCTGCCTTTTCCTTGAGCTTTGTCATGAGGCTGCTCTTGGCAGCAGGCGCTCCCAGGGGGAGGAGGCCGCGGGCCTGGCGGCGGCGGCAGGGCCTGCAGGCCGGGCGAGCCCCGGGTCCTCAGCCTCGCGTCCCTTCCTGCTGGATCTGCGGGTTTGGGCAGAAAAGTCATCAATAAGGGAGGCCATAGCTTTATTCTCTTTCATTTCTTTTATTCAAGAAGTGCTGCTCCTCAGGCTGTGGCTGTATTTTCCATTTACTGAGGTCTGTACAAGTCCTGAGGTCCTTTCTCCGTCCGAGACAGCAGTGCAGGCAGTTACTGTAAAACCTTTGCATGGCGGTCAGCGCTTCACAAGGCACCACTGACGTTATGGATTGAAACTTGGCATAGCAAATGAATTCTTTCATTTTGCTTAGGAAGTGCTTTGGGTTTCTCATGTGGATGTAGACTTCGGGGTTTGCTTCTGTGTCTTTTTTGCTTTGTTTTTTTTTTTTAAGGTTTCCTTTTTTCGTGCAGCTCTGTGATTATTATGGAGTGTATCAATAAAATGCAATAATGAAGCCTTACAGTCTATGGGAGCTACTTTCAATTTACCCCAGTGTAGCAGAGAGGCAAAATGTAATGAAATCAGCATTACGGGATTCACAGTGAAATGCAAAGGATAATGCGGATTAGGATGCTATACCTGTGCTGTTGGTTTCCTAAGTGAAACAGGGTGACCTGGACTTCTCACTTGTCCCAGTGAGTGTCCTTCTGAATTTGCGTAAATAAGATATTTATTGGGCCATTTATTTGTCTTACTGGAAACCCAAATGAACTGAGAGAATTATTCAGTAAAGTTGGTCTTGTAAAAAAGTGTGCAAAGTCTAGCTTATTTCTTGAAAAATTTTCTTGGTTCAGCTGGGACTACAGAGTCTACAAAGTCTTTGGGCAAGTCCCAGCGAAGTTACAAGTTAAAACTGTTGGAAAGCAACTTGAAACCATGAGCGAGCGTTACTGGTGATCTCTCATATTCAGTTTCTGCAAAATTGTAAAGACTTCTTTAGTCTTTAAGACTGTCTTTAATTGTAAAGACAGCTTAGACTTCTGTAAGTACCATAGTCTTGATAGTTAATCTTGAAAAACTGAACAAGAAAAATAATGAAAGACACTGTCATATCTTTGTTCTATATTCCTGCTTCTAGCATCCCTTGGGGTTTGAGACACTGCACTAATTTAGCTAGAGCCAGTCCAGTAGAAGCAACCTAGATGCTTTTGAAGAATTTAATATTGGTTTAAAGCTAGTCCTGTGCCCTGCTGATGTGGGCCAGGCATATACCTTATGTTTAATCTTACACAGAAGAATCCGTGTACCTTGTTACAGTGGTTGGACTACAGCGGTACAAAGCCGCAGCTCTAAGGACTCTGGCATGATTTGCATGCAGACAAGTTTCAGGGCACATCAGTGTGCTGGAACCAGACGTGTTTGTATCTCATTGCCTGGGCAGTAAGTCTGATACAAGAGCAGTCGTGAGCCCCAGGACCGAACCAAGAACTCACTGCTGTTGTCACATCTCTGGCTCAAAAGGTATTTAAATCATGTTCTGTTCATTTGGAGAGGGAGAAAAAAGGTTCAGAGAAATCCAGGATCCTAGGATGGGTCCTATAGGTGTTTATGGTCACGGTAAGGTGTTATGGTGTTTTACAGCTGGGGAAACTTGAGTTGGAGAGAAACTAAAGACATATTCAGATACCCACATTTAAACAAGTGGGCCACGGACTCGGAGACTCATTTGAACTTTGCTGTCTCCTTTAGTGCTTTCCGGGTAGGGGTTTGCCCTGGAAAGAGTCAGGCCGCCTGTGGTGGAGCAGACAGCGGAGCCTGGGATATTCAGAGCCTGACTTGATGTCCTGTCTGGAGTCTCTAATTACAGTGCGGGAATCTTGTGTTGCCTCCGTCATGATTTCGAGCTTTGCCGCTAGCTGGGAATAAACCCTCCAGCTCTCCGGGAATGGCGCAGGCAGAGCCTCAGGTATCCAGCCTGCGTGGAGGTGGGAGGTATCTGCAAGGAGGCAAGCCCGGCTCCTGGCTGCAATCTCTGCTCGAGGTTTTCAGACTGAAAGCAGCCTGTGATTTATACGTCCAGTACACTGGAAAGGCTTCAGTCAGAAACATCTAAGACGAGTTGATGGTCAAGTATTTTCCTTTCTATTGAGTTCCTTGTTCTGTCGTCTCTGGTGCCTGGGAGGAGTCACCTCTGGCACTGAGAAGCCTTGCTGTGTAATGCAGATAGCCAAAGGCTTATTAGTAACTCCGTGCAACTGAACAAAAGTAGATTACTGAGTCTTAACATACAATGCTAAATTGAGGCCAGTAAGTCATGGACCATAATTAGCTTCACTAAAGAGATCAACCTGGAAATAGCAACTTGACAGTATTTGTAGTTATTTAAATGACTGTAGGGGCAGAACGTGAAAGAAGTAGCATCATTGGACCAGCCTTGAAACCATTTATTTATACCAGCAGAGATCAAGAACTTGCCTTTTTCAAAGCCAGCTGATGTGGGTGCTGACGTGCAGGGTTCCTTAGGGTGCCCTTTATCCATGGGCTTGAGGGCGCAGAGTGTCGCAGGGCCTGGGGAGCATCCACCCGGGTCCTCTCTCCGGTTCCCCGTTTGGGCCATTCCCAAAGGCCCTGCTCTGCCTCTGTTGAGTGGCCTTGGGATCCGGCTGAGTGCAGGATCTCGGTACACACTTGATTTACCAGCAATTCGCTGCATGTTTGTCTCACTTTTATTTTTTTTCTTGTTGTATAAATCATCAAAAGTGTTTCCTTGGCCACAAGTTAATAGTTAGTCTTGCTTGAAAGAATAATAAACCTGCTCTTTCAGTCCAGAAATAGCATTACGTTGCAGATCAGACGGGGTTCACTCGAGGCAATGCATTTCTTGGGGCCATATTTAGAAAGAAGTGCTAATTAAAGTAGTAGTTGGCATTACCAGCTGCATTCTGCTTACTCATACAGACTGAATTAGTGCTCCGGGGATATAGCTGAAATGAGGCTACTGGGGGAGGAGATACACAAACCTTCATATTTGAGTAGATGGAATTATTTCCTGGAATACTTGGGGTGCTCCATGTTTGATGCCAGCAGCAGGGATGGTGGAAAGGTGCATGTCTTACCCTGCTGCGAGCATCCCTCATTTGCAGAAAGCACAGCAAGGAGCACAGCTTGTTCGGCCCTTCTTTTCTGAAGTCAAATGTGAGCCGTAAACCTTCTACTGCTGTCATTTCCATGTGAAGTCAGGCTGCTGGTTCATCTGGTTTCCCAGATCATGGTTTGAAGCTACTTGATTCATTTTGCTTGGGTATGTTTGTTTTTGGATTTGAATAGTTCAGTTCTTTCTGTCCGTTGTGCTCATTGAAGGGTTTACATACACTCCTGCTCTTGGAAACAGACACAGACTCTGAAACACTTCATGACATGGAAACTTTGGAGCATTTTTTCCTCCTCTTTCCTGTCCATGACAGGAAACCTCAGTGGGAAGAGACAGTAGTGGGTGCAAATGGCTTATGCTACTGGTTTATTAGATGGTTGCATTCAGAAAAACATATGTGACTTGTTAGTTGGGCCTAAAGCCTAAGAAGTGGAAAATGTGTTGTGACAAAAACGGACTGAGCGCAGATTTATGCGCAGGAGGAAATGCTCTTTTTGCTTGGGTTGAAGTGCTGTGTTTTGTTTTGCAGTGGCCCACGCGCAGGAGCCCCACCACCCCGCCGAGAAGCCCGTCATCCACTGCCACAAGTGTGGGGAGCCGTGCAAAGGGGAAGTGCTCCGTGTTCAGGCCAGGCATTTCCACATCAAATGCTTCACCTGCAAAGGTACCACCTCCATGGTCATCACTGGTAGATGAGTTGATTTGTGTGAATAAAGGAGATCTGGTGGTGTCCAGTGTGTGAAGTGGGGGGGCAGGTAAAGAACAGCTGCCAATCAGCACCAAGTGTAAGCATCGTGATTTTAAAGGAAAGGAAAAGCTGTATGAAACATCTGATTCCTCTTACTTGGGATAAATTGGCCACTACAAAAAGGCTCAAAATAGCACATTCTGCACTGAACACTGACATAGTTATTCTTTTTTCTACTATTTGCGGGCTACAAGTTACACAATGGCCAATCATACCTCAAAGAGATGAGAGGAAAAAGTCTTGCCTCTTTTTGTGTTTTTTAATTGTAACTTTTATTTTGTATTTGTTGGTTTGCCTTTACTTATTACAGTTCTTGTACAGTTCCCCATAGAAATTCAGTTTCAGATTTCTCTGGGGTTGGTGGTCAGTTAGGCCGTGTTTACAATATGACTGCTCTGTGGCTCTATTTATGTGGGGAACAATGGGTCAAAACTGAACACCCAGAATGAGTTACTTTATATAAAGTTATCAAAGGCAGGAAGAGCAAGGACAGCCCTAGAGCCACCCATAAATCCTGCGTAGATAATGTACTTGGGTTTCAAAGTACTTATGTTGTATACATCTTGTATTGTTTTCATATATGGGACTAACTTATCTGCAGATAGGATTGTGTATTATAGTAGAAGAAATTATATGACGTAAGTACTGAAGAAAATTCTATGTTTTCATTGTTTTTTGTTCTAAATGCGTTTTATGGGTTTGGATAAATGTTTTTGAAAGTGGTAAGCACATCCAGTGCCCTTCGGTAGGGATAGTGATGCAAGGGAAGCTCCTCTCCCCTGGAGTGGGCGCTGACCAGCGAGTAGCTGCACTGAGAACAGGCACCTGTGCAGCTTGGGGATCCTGAGCTGGGCTCCGGAGGCCACGGGATTCGCCACACGTTTTAGGAGATGCCCAACTCTGAGAGAGGGGAGGGTGGTTAATCATTACAACAGGCAAAGGAGCAGGTGACAAGGGACATCTGTAACAACTACACTGACACTTTGACCCGGAGAGAAAGCCGAACTGGAGCTTGTAAGCTGAGTGGTAGAAGAAAACTGTGCTTGTTTCAGTGGATGGATTCTGCGCCTGTTCAAGAAACAGCAGCACACACGTGTGTACGTTATCCCTGAATAACTCATGTGGTGCAGAAGGTCATTGGCAGAGCTTCCTCCTCTTGTGTTTTTTCAAGGGCTTTGCAGGACCCCCAATTCATTATGAGCAGGTACCGTGTTTACATCAAAGGAGTTGTCATAGTGCAGAGGGTTGAGGAATGAGTCAGGCAAAACCCATTACTCTCCACCAGCAGGAATTTCTGGAAGGGCTCCTGTGCTCGTCTCAGAGAGGCAGAGTGTTATGAATAGCTACTGGCCTCGTGTGCCGAAAGATTGTGCTTGAGAAGGATCTCTCTGTTTGAAGTTTAGCTCATTCAGCACCTTAAAGTATATTTACTCGGCAGCTTTGGTTCATATGGGAAGCACTTTGTCAGCCTGAGTTCTGTAAAAGGTTTAGATCTTGAGGCATTTGGTTTTGGAGCTGCTCTAAGGTTGGAGGAAGCACGGCCTGGTTGTCAGAGGCTGGATACTGCTCTGCTCTTGCTGAGCACTTTGTGCTGATTACCCTGTGCTTTCTTACAGAAAAGAGGAGCTGATAAGTTTAATGAAGCATTAAACAATAGTGAAGTATCACTACTCTGTATCAAGACATCACCTTTAAAGATGGACAGTCTCCTGAATCATTAATAGTTTCTGTGCCACTGGCAACCATAAAGCTTTGAAATTACTTGATTGAATTAAGTAACCCTGTCATCATAGTAGGTAACCAGAAATTTGTGAATACGGAGAAATAACAAGCATCTCCTTGTGAGATGAGGGAGGGACATCCCACATACATTCTTCACTTGTTGGATTTACCGTGGTCTGTTCTAATTTGGTTCAGGTTACAGCGCACGTGTTTGGGGACTGAGGTGCATGTGGCTCTGCTGATACAGAACCCGAAGCAGCCAGGACTGCTAAATCAGAGCAATTTGCTTGTAAAACCAACTGGACTTTTATAAAATGCCGTAGGTAAACTTAATTACATCTGCTGTGATTAGGTGCTACAGCTGACTCGGACATCTGCTGGTGTCACACATGTAGTTCTGGTATGTTGCTGGCAAACACTTACATGCAGAGTCTGTACTGAGGACTTCATGCATTCCTTAACTTGAGAGAATCTAAATCATATTTTCTGGAAACATGAATCTAGCAAGTGTATTGCAGAGCCAGACTTTGAAAGTGCCTCAAATGAAAACCCTGCTAATGCACAATAAAATAAATCATGTTTAATGTTTTCTTAAGCCATTTTTATATCATGTAAATGATGGCAACCTATCATTCTTTATGAATACTGCGGATGCAATGTTGACGTGTGATTTGCCATTTCTATCCCTATTAAGTTTTTTCCCCAAAAAGCGTGAAAAGGGTGAAATACACAACTAATACCACTGTTAACAAAGGGGGCCCAATGAGAAGTGTATATCTGTCTGCAAATGTACATATTCTTAAATGAAATTTAGTACGTCAGTCATTTAAGGGTGCAGGTAAATTTTCATTATTATCATGATTCAGGGCCCTAATCTAAAATGTGTGAGTGTTCAATGTTGACTTAACATCAGACTCTGTGATCAGGCATCTCTAGTTAATATTAATATCTGTTTAATATGCAAAGTCCACTAGTAGATGTATCATGACAAGTTGCATATGATATTAAATTTTAAGTCCTTCTGAACACATCTTTTATGGTTTTTTTGTTGTTGTTCCTCTTCTCAGTGATTAGAATTGTTAAGGGTTTTTTGCTAGTAAGGATTAATAATTAAGGTTATAAGATAATAAAGGTTATAAAGTGATATCATAATGTGGCTTCTGTGCTTCTGTTGCATATGGTGTTTAAGTTCAATGGGTATCAACAGTCTCAAAAGATACGTAACTTTCCCTGGGGATTGGTAACTTCCATCTGTGTTGGGTTGGACTGATAACAGCTCGTTGGGTCAGGCTTAGAGGAGCAATAGCTGTGCTGTGGCAGAGCTGTTGGGTTAATGGGTATGTCTCTCTATGTTATTTTGAGCAGTACTTCATGGTTTATAATTCCATAGTTCAAAGACAATAGCAAGTTCCCGCTTACCCCTCCTGGCTGTAGTGAGTAGTGATCTCACTTTACAGAAGAGTCTACAGTAAATATGGCAGAGAACCAGCTGAAACTGTTTGAGTCATGAAGGAAAATAATAATTCAGGCCAGGCTGTAAACAACCTGCCCAGGACCTACCAGTGATTTAAGGGCAGCAGATGGGATTGAGCTCTATAATTGTTTTCTTGCTGAATGTCCCAGATTAATCTTGCCTTTTCCTTGGGATTTTATTTTTTCTTTTACTTTTTTGTTGTTTGTTTTTGTTATCAACTTTTACACTGTCCTTAGGCTTTAACTGTTCTGTTGCCACACTGGTTTTAATAGGTTGCAGATTTTGGGGGTGCAGTATCTAAACTCATTGTGGCTTCTGTTTAAGGAGGTTATTCCAAACGGATGACAGTTAAGTATTCTGTAGCATAATTGATCTCATCACTGATTCCTTGAGGATCACCAGAGAAAGGAGAGCTATAGAAATAGGTCTCTCGAGTTATGTAAGACTGGAGTAATTTGTGACACATTGAGCTCATGGAAGAGGACTGGCTGCCTGTCACTCACTTGTTGCTTGGGAGAAGGATGACAGTGTGATCTGTGCACCCTGGGGCAAACCAAGGGCCGCTGCTGAACCTTAGAGACTTCTGTCTGTGCTGCTTATTGAGCCTGTGTCTTATTCACTGGGTCTGCCAGCCAAGTGTGTGTGTGTGTGTGTGTTCGTTTGCCCTTGAGAAGAAGGAAGAGGGTGAGCAGTTTGCTCCAAGGTTTGCAACTTCTAACTCATTTCAGGCCGAGCTACGGAGCTTGTTTATTGTTGAGCTCTCACATTTAAAACAAGTGGACGCAGCTGTTTAAGTGAGGTATTTTTTTCCTAGCGGATTTTTAATTTGACACAACTGCTTCTCTAAGGAGGTGGAGTTAGATGCCCTTAGCTTATACAGTGCATTGTTAGCCTTGGGAAAAGGCTCTGGATATTGGAAACAGAATTAATTAGCTACATCTGCTCTAGCTCATGTATTTACAGTGTGAAAGACCTGCACAAACTCATATTGATGTCCTACCTGCTAGAAACATATAAGCTTTTACTGGGGGACTTTGATAGTCTAGCAGAGATGTGAGAAAAATCTGTTTCCTCAGGTAGCTGCCACAGTCGTGGGGCAGTAGGAGCGTTTCAGCAGGATTAATTTATTCGCTATAACTTTGCTGGATGTGGGATTCCTTGTTTTACTCGTGCACACTCTCAACTTTGTTCACTGCGGGTTATATTTGATGTTATGGCCTCCTTCCTGCAAGGGTGAGTGAGAGGTGCCCAGGCCCTCCTGGACCGCTCGTCGTGCGTGTGGATGGCGGTGGCTGCGCTGCAGGAGCAAGGGGAGCTGGGGCTGCGTGCGGCATCAGCCAGCACGGTGCAGGATTGTGAGGGGACAACCTTCTCCCCCTGTAGTGCGGTGCTGCATCCATGTCTGGGATCTCTCCTGGAAGAGAGTAACTGCTCCCTGACAACGATGACGGGTGAAACCTCTAGCAATTGCCATGTTCCCATACAGCCAAGATAAGAGGCAGCCAGCGGTTATTTCACACCCACTGAGAACTAAATCTCTGCAGCTCTTCTCCCCTATCTGCCTCACGAGGTGGGCTGCTTCTATTTGGGGCTCAAGATAAGGACTAATAAAGGTGAAAGAGCTGCAAACGGGGTGCTCGTCCTGCAGCAGGGGAGCTCTGGGGCCTTGAGGGCCTCGAGCAGCGCGGCCTCGAGCAGCTCTGCAAAGCCCTTGGCCTGC